ATTACAAATATATATATTTATATATTTGTTGTTTTGTATCACTTACTACTTTATTTAAATATTGCTTTAAAATAATTTACGTATGTATTTAAACAAACAATCAAATATAGGGGGGAAAAAAAAAAAAGAAAAAAAAAAAGAAGAACAAATGCAGTTACACGAATGACGATATATATATTCTTTATCACGATAATAACAATCAAGAAAATGACGTATAAGAGTGTAAAAGTGAAGTGACTGATGACGGGTTAGGAGGGGGGAGGGGATTACGGGTGAAAAAAATTTTACGAACGAATAGAATAAATAAAGTTCATAAATTATTTTTTTTATCACTGATATAAACAACAATCCTACCATTGCCCACCCACCCCCACCCACTACTCCTACATACTGATGTTATATAAAAACAAAAAAATAAATATTAAATTAGCAGCACACAACACCATTTTGTATGTGCCAAATATTTATAACTAATATATTGTTTTGATTCGTTGAAAATAAAATTCTTCGCACCCAAACCGACACCTCCCCCCTCCCAACCCTCACCACACTATCACATCTTATATCTTTTTTCTTGAAATATTATATTATCGTATTTAAAAAATATATAATTATAATCTTTCGCATAATAGAACCTCAGTTTTTTATACTCAAAATTTGACACCCATTATGCAAATCAAATTCGATCAATTTATTATTTTTCTTTTCCAATTAAATTCACCGCATGAAAATGTTTTTGATACACGTGGGATTGTGAATAATTATTAATTGACTAATTTATTATTATTTCAATAATATATAACATATGATAAATTTTGACATTGATAAAATAATATTTATTTTTTCAAAAGTAAAATTATATGCAAGAAAATCGTGAACATTTGTAAATTACTCATTGAATGTATATTCGTAATTATTCTTTAATATGTTATTCATCAAATGTACTTTCATGATAATAATTAAAATGTTGAATTTCTTAAACAATAATTTACATATTTGATTTGATTTCAATTTTTTATTTCTTTTTTTTTTTTTCAAATAAAAACGTTTGATATGCATAATATTTTTGTTTGTGATCAATTTTGAGCGTAAAACGATATAACTGTAACTACGTATATTTAAATATATATTATTTCAATTTTTACATTTTATTATTTTCGATTTTAATTTTACTTTTATTTTTTTTAAATAACAATTTTTGGTAATGAATGACAAGACAGATAAATATCAGAATAACTTTCTTTCGTGAAAGTAAGTAATATGTCATTCTAATTGTATTCCTTGCACATAATAAATTCTTCCAGTTTTCGTAAGGAAAAAAAAACAAAAAAAAAAAAAAAGAAAATAAAATTAAATAACCTCAAGGGGTTCCAGTCATTTTATTATCGGATATATTTCTTCGAATTATTATTTTCTTTTTTTCGATTTTTATATTAATAAGAATTAATCGAACCATGTATATATAATACCCCTTTAATTTTCAGCAAAGTATAAATTATTATTATCAAAGGAAAATGTATCTATCTTTCTTTCAATCATTCATTTTATATCTTGTTCTTTCGCATAAATTACAACTACGCTGTAATTTTTAATTATAATGGAAGACGAACGAAGCTTATAAACGATTACTATTATTATTATCTCTTAAACAGGGAAGGTAGAAGATTAACTGTGCGTGTATATATTTATATATATATATATATATATGTATGTATGAAAATGAAAAGAAAAAAAAATAGTAATAAATAAAAAAAAGAAAGAAAAAAGAAAAAAAAAAATTACGCGCGTCATAATATAATATTAAATTTTTTTTTTTTTTCAAATGAATCATGTTTGCGCAATTGGTCTCATTTTTTCTCTTTTTATTCTTCTTCTAATGTGTTTGTTCTTTCTTTATTTTTTTCTCTCTCTCTCTGTGTGTGTGTGTGTGCGCACATTTTGCGCATATTTTTCGCTTACACAGAGAAAGATAATATGTGACAGATTAAACAAAACACAGTTTTTAATTTGTTTCATTATTGTTAGTTAGTTATTCGTTTTGTATTATAATCGGGCGTCTAATTATATATATATATATATATAATATATTTATATTATGTTTACCACATTGTGTATCTTGTCAATTATTTTTTTTTTTAATCAAACCCGGTAAGGTAGGGTGGTAAACCCCCTGTTGTTATATTTTTTTTTCTAAGCCTCCCTTCTACGTCGTTATACTAATTTTTAATTAGTAAAAAACAAAAAAGCTCTTTTGTTCCGTTCGTCCGTCAGTTTGTCCGTCCGTTCCCGTCCGTTTGTCTTTCATTTATTCAATTTTTTTTTTCCTTTTCCTCCGGAGAAAAGAGTTTTTTTTTTTAATAAAGCGAGTATAAAAAAAAAAAAAAAGGAACAGAGAAAAAAAAAACACTTTCGTTTAATTTTTCTTTATCCTTTTTCTCTTTCTCCATCTGTCCTTCCTCTTCGATAAAACACCCACCATTCATGTCAACACAATAGTAGAGTTTACGATAAATAAAAAAAAAAAAAAAAAAAAAAAAAAAAAAAAAAAAAAA